CCAGACTGGACCAGAGCTGGCAACCTCGCTGTCTGCCCAAATGTAACCGAAAGCTGGCAGTCAAGTCTCCAATGTCCCAGCTGCCCCACTGTCCCCATGTCCCAACGTCCCAGCTGCCCCTTGGGCTACTCCAATTGCACAAAAAGGTTGCGAAATGCTTTGCATTGTTTTGCTCAGTGTGTGACAATGCGACATGTAAATTTGTTGCTTGCAGTTGTTACTTCTTTTCTGTTGTTATTTAACTTCTCTCTTTTTTTTTGTAATATTTTTTTTTTTTTTTTTGCTAGTTTTATTGCTGTCCGATTCCGCCGGCTGATTGCCGCAGGCGGGCTTAGTCCCTGGAATCGCTTCATAAAACTGTCAACTCAAATTATGCCATAAATTGATTAGGCAAATCGCAGCTGCTGCTGATCGCAGCTTAAGCGAACTGCATTCAGATTACTGCTATAATTCTCTATAGCTAACTGAAGCGGAAGGTTTAGATAGATACGTAATGTTGTCGAAACTTTAATGGGCTTCAGGGATTAAGCCATGTGCGAAACCAGATATATATATAAACATTTAGCCAATATTATTTTACAAATATATTTAACGATTTTATGGAATTAAATTTAAAATCATATTATATAAATTAGCAATTATTATTTTAAGCGTATAGGTAACAATTTTATGGTATTCATTTTATATAATATGAATTAACAAATATTATTTTTAAAATATATTTAACAATTTTATGGTATTAAAATTAATATTATATTATATAAATTAGCCAATATTATTTTAGATATATATTTAACGATTTTATGGTATTCATAATGATATTATATTATATAAATTAAAAAATATTATTATACAATTTTTTGGCATTTTGTTGGGTTACATTATGCAATGAATTTTGCCTTTTGTTTGATTTTATTTTTTTAATGACTTTTTAAGTAGTAATAAATAAAAATTTGTTATTTTTTAATATGTAACATATATTTTTATGTTAAACTAAATATTTAAATTTTACTAATCAATTTTGTTTATCTTAAATTATATTGTAATTATTTTTGGTAATTATATTTATTAATAAATTATATTTATATACTTTTTTTTTAAATTAAATTATATTTTATTTTAGTTTAGCGAAATATATTCAAACGGAAATTTAAACAATAAAAAATTGAAAATAATATATAAAATAAGATATATATATAAAATAAAATAAGATATATATATAAAATAAGACAAAGTATAATTTTAAATATTGACCAAATGTAATTTAATATATATATACAATAGTATTATTTTATTTTATTTTTATTTTATTTTATTTTATTTATTTCTTATGCATTTACTTAAATATTATTACGATTTAAATTATTATTATTACGAATAATTAAACCTCTTTATTCCTTAGTTTTTAGGTAATGCCATATTTAGTATTTGATTAACTGCTTTGCCCATATTTATAGAGTATTTGATAGTTGCGCTTTGCTCTGATGCCGGCTAATTAAACACATGACAATGATAAAATTGAAGTCTTGTGGCCATTTGCCAGACATAACTATAAGCTGTTACCTGTTACCTGTTGGCTGTTACCTGTTGCACGCTGCCAGCTTCGTCCCACGGCTGGCAATTAAGCAAAACTGCAACAAATGCGCTTCTTGCTACCAAAGTGGGTCAGAGATGCAGCCACCAGAGGCAGCAGCAGCAGCAGCAGCAGCAGCGGCAGCAGGAAATGCTCAGCTCTTTGTGGCGTCATCAAAGCTCGTCATTGGTTTTGAGCTACCCACGCAATAATCTAGCAAAATGATGAAAAAATTAAATGTACAAATCATGTTTACGACTTGTCGTCAGCCAGTCGCCCAGTCAGACAGACGGACAGATAGATAGACAGTTGAATAACTGAGTGTTCCATCAGTCCATCAGTCTGAGGCAGAGTCAGTCCAGCTGTCTGGCAGTGGGCGTTGCTGCTGCAGCCAACTAATTGTTGTACGTGGCAACTAGCTGCCAGCTAAAAGGAAATATATGAAACAGCAACAAGAGGAAGAAAACCACATTGCAGTCAACTTCACATTGACACCGTTTGCAATTAGAAGAAAAAGTGGCCCGTTGGCTACTGTGCAGGAGCTCCAAGTCGGGAGAACTGGGAGAGCTGGGCGAGCTGGGAACTGGGCGCACTGTCTAAGGCTACCAATGAAGATGATGCTGCACGGTTGACTGTCCATGTTAATATGCTGGATTCTAAATAGCTGAAAACCAGTTGCAGTCGATGCCATCTCACTGTTGGCCATGTGGCTTCGTGTCTGTGTGTGTGTGTGTGTGTGTTGCTAAAGTTAATTGCCTGATTTGAGCTAAGACTTTGCTGTCGCAGCCGGCACAGTTTTTGAACCTCGCTATAAAAACTGTGGGCAGCTCTTTATTTTTTCTTGGAGCTGTTAGGCAAATGTGCTAAAAGATTAGACATTCGGATTAGGCACGCATATATAAGTCAGTGAGGAGAATAGCCAGTGCGGACGACGACTTGGAATGAATGGGAAAATTGGCGAGTGGAGGAAATTGAAACGCAAGGAAAAGCTGCGTAAGATAAGCTGTGAGGAATTCCATGAGGAAAACGTAAGGAAATTGATGAGTAAAGTATTTAGATTGGTGCAAGTCAATGGAAAGGAAGAGCAGGCTGAGAAGTGAGTCAAGCAGGGCAAGGAAGGCCTGGAGAAGAAGAGTGTATGGGTAAGGAGTGGGTGAGAAAGAAGACGATTTAATAGGATTCGCTGGATAGGGCAACTTCCACAAAACATAGACAGAAATGAGAAAGAGCCGAGTAAGGCTAAGGCTGATGGAAAGAAGAGGAAGTATAAACAGTAGTTAGTAGAGATAGAATCAGTAAGGAAAGCAAAATGATATACATAGATCGTACAATAGTTAGAGTTGTTCTAGTTCTAGGCTCAACAACTTTACATATATGATATACAACACGCAATATATTCTTCAATATCTTCTGCTATATGTACATATAACTACATGACCTGACTGCTCTCTGTATGACCTAAACTTAGCCAAGACAACTTAGAGAAAGAATATAGTATAAGAATAGATTCCTCTAGCAAGGGTATTCCAGTGAATGCCTCTACCCCAACTCAACTCATCATTCTCTGCTATATACTTTCCACATAGCTTGATCTTTGACTGTGTGGGCTAATATGTGGCCGTGTCTAACGATCGTCACGCGTTGATAGGCCGCATCGGCATCACATAATTTTGTGATATTTGCCATAATTTTGAGCTGCGTTAAATGAAATATGTTGAAGCCAAGCCAAGCCAAGTCAAAAGCTGAGGCGTGCTGATGTATTGAGTTGTTTAGCCCCAGGACACGCAACATACACACACACATACAAACACACACTTGCAGAGTGCACAGAATGCGGCAATCAGTCAAGGCAACAAGTCAAGACATCGACTTCTACTTCTACTTCGAGTTTGAGCTCGAGTTTGAGTTCTTGTCTTGGCTGAGTCTGCTGCATAAATAAGTAGGCTGCCTTCCAGTGCGAGTCTGTCCGCGTGGCTGGCCTGACATGGGAATTGATATGGCAACGCAACCACCGCCACCACGACAAACAGTCAACTGGGCAATTGGCAACGGGGCATTCCTTAGCTTTGCTCATCGGTTCTCACAAATGGTTCAATTAATCAAAGAAAACCCTCCACAACTAGCGAATTTAATAACATTATTCGATATCACACACACACACAGACACATACACATATGATATCTGACAGTTGATATATAAATTATAGATCATGCCAGTCAATAGTCAATAGCTATTTAATGATGCCCCTTGTAAGCCGAGCCAAAGAAAAAATCAAACAAAAGCCAGCAAATTGCATAAATCAACAAACGTGGAATGCAGATCAAGATCGACGACTCATGAATTATAAACTGCGATCGCGTCTAGACTAGATCGTAAACAATTGTGTACTATATATATATATATAGAGAGAGAGAGAGAGAGAGTATGAGGTAGAATTTTGTTAGCCTTTGATTGACTTTGAATAATAAATAACTCAGTTAGGGCTTTACTTGTTAAATCATTAAAATAGATTGTGGAATTGGAAGTGCTGACTTTTCCTGTCAAGCTGAAGGTCTGAGAGTTCTCTTTCAGCTGATATATGAATCTTTACATAAATAAATATCTATAATTATTGATATACGCATTACTATATATTAATTACTATTATAATAGAGTGATTCGAAAAATTGATTTTTGGACTTTTTAAGAGGCAATCTGCAGAATTTCTTGTCAAAATGTCGAGCCTAAGTCAGTGCTAGTTTCTGAAATTACTATAGATAGATCATAGTTACATTAAATATTATGTTTGTAGCTTACTATAAAACTTTTCATTTAGGATTTGTGAAGAATCTTGACGAGCCTTGATAGAAAACTGAAAACTGTGGGCTTCTAATATCTCACTCAAGTTTACTTATTTAGTTGCATAGCTTAAGGTCTAAATTTTAGTGGAGAGTTTACCTGTTTTATATAGCAATTGATGATTTGATATTTATAGCTACTAAGAATTATTAAATGTGTTTATTTGAGGAATCGTACCTGTATGAATTTTGGATTCACTTCAAATCAATTTTTTGACATGTGAAGATGTGATCCTCGAAATTCCTCGTCTAGAATTGGAACTAGTAGTAGCTATAGCTTTTTGTAGCTGAGATATGTGCAGATAGAAAGAAGAAATGCTTAAGTATTGAATAAAAATATATATTAAATCAATAAATATATAGTAGATAAATTAGAAATATGGGAAAATTATCCAAATAATCTTACGTCTAGCCTCAACTGAACTATGTATAAGCACAGCGCAGTCTTTTGATATTCATGCATAAATTCAGCCACAGTTTTCTATGCATTCCCAACTCCACACACGTCTATAAATATATCTATTTGTATATATGTAAATTGCTACAACTATTGGCCATCGTATCATAATGAATTCTCAATTTATTGCAGGCAGCAGCACGGAGCTAGCCCATTCGCTGTTGGGCTTCTATGACACGCTGACAAACACCTTGAGCGCTGGTCCGACGGCAGCCAAGGCTGACAGCAGCGAGAGCAGCCAGAGCAGCGGTGAGTCAACGCCAAAGCGCAGCAATAGCAATTGCAGCACCACCAGCACCACCAGCAGCAGCAGCAACAGCAACAGCAACAGCAACAACAGCAGCGACAATCATTCGGGCAGCTATTGCTTAGATGGTGGAGCACAAACGCCGCTGGTGGTTGCCGGGCTGCGTGACGATGTGGCTGATGGCGTGCAGCTGAGCCGATTGGTGGTGCAACGGCGCCAGGAGCTGGGCAGCAATCACAGCATCTCATCCACAGCATCCAGCAATCATTCGCGACGCGGCAACAATATTCGCGTGCTCTCGCCCAATGTGCAGCGGATTATTACGCACGCCGATGCGGAGCCCGTGAACGCCATCGACATCGAAGCCATCCAGCAGCAGCAGCAGCTGCAGCAGCAGCCGATCCAGCGCAGCCCCACACCGCCGTTGCGTTATGCAAAGGCCGCAACCACAGCACCACCCAAACTGAAGCTATCGCATCTGCCGCTCTCCAAGACAACGGGCAAGCTATCCACCCAGTCGGGCAGCGATCTGGTGTCCACCTTGGATGCGGGCAGCGAGTACGTCGGTGGTGCGCACAGAAGGGTCAACGCATCCGCGGATGAGGACAAGACACCCACCAACAAGGCAGCGCCCGGCACACCCTTTCACTTCGAGGGCAAGCCCTTCTCCAAGCTAAAGCTGCAGAGCATCAAATTAAGTGAAATGGAGCAGCTGGCGGTGACGAGCATGCAGCTAGCTACAGCACCACCAACAACACCACCACCACCAGCAGCAGCAGCAGCAGCATCAGCTCCAGGTGCAGCCAGTACGCCGGTGGCACCGCCCAGGCACAAGGCCTTTGTGGTGGCCAGCGAGCCGCTCAGCCCAGAGCCGTTTGTGGACGCGATTAACTTTGACCTGGTTGCCCAGCACATCGAGAAGCTGACATTGAGCGACCTGGATCTGGGAGAAGGCGAAGCAACGGCCGAGCAGCTGGTGGAGGCCATCAACAAGCCGCTGATTGGCAAGCCGCTGGTGCGCAGCGTCTCGGCACCGCGCGCCAGCCAGAGCGGCTCGGCGGGGCCGGGCTCCCCGCTGCAGACGTATGCGCGCACCAAGCTGAAGAGCCAGAGCGGCAAGGCGAGCACCTTGGGTGGCGGCATGCCACTGCGGCTGCCCACGGCCGAGCAGCTGGCTGAGCTGGAGGAGGCCAACAAGCTGTCGGCCGAGAGTCTGGACACGTTGACGGACATCAAGCCGAAGTATCCGCCGCGCCTAAGTGAGCTGACGCGCCTCAACAATCGTCCGCTGTCCTCCTCCTCCATTTGCTCCACCTCGTCCAGCTCCAGTTCGGGCTCCGACCAGCTGCTCAATGGCAAGCTGGCTGCCACCTCCTATTTGGCCAGTGTCGAGAGTTTGGCCGAGAGCGAGAACGAGCTGGGCGACCATCATCATCATCATCATCCCTCGCACACGAATCCCATGAGCGTGCTGGAACGCGCCTGCCTGGAAATTGTGGACTCGGAGCGGAGCTTTGTCGAGGATCTGGGTCAGGTTATCAAAGGGTAAGCCACATCACCTGCTGACAGTTCCCGTGTGCACAGCTAACCACTCTCTTCGTCTCCTCCTCTCTTCCTGCAGCTACCTTCTGGACTGGAAGGAGCGCGCCTGTCTGCGCACAGACGAATTGCAAATACTCTTTGCCAACATTGAAGAGATTTACGAATTCAATTCGTTGCTGCTGCAGCAGCTCATCAACTCGGGCATGGATCCGGGACGGATAGCGAAATGTTTCATTGACCTACGCGATCGCTTTAATGTGTATACAACCTATTGGTGAGTGAACTGATCTAAATCTACTGTCGCGATAGCATTAAAAGCGAGCTCTATTGATCAGCTCACCGGCTCAGCTTAGCGTAGTGGGATTACCAGAAGAACTGTATACCCTAGTTGACATTCCTTGCATTCTATATTCTCTCATTATCGACTTTCTATGCAGTTTAGCTCTTTTCCTTTCTCCATCTATCTCAATGATAGATTCTCCTTTCGTTCTTAGCCTCTTCATCAGCCTTTCATCTCTATCATGTCTCTGTTTCCCGGGTGTTTCTCTGACTCCCTCTCTCTCTCTCTCTCTCTCTCTCTCTCTGTATCTCTATCCTTCTCTCTGTTTATAACTCTCACTGTCCATCAGTACATCTTTTCTCTTTCATTATTTCTCTCTAGGTATCCCGCCTTTTACTTTCTCTATATATATTTCTTTCTTTCTCTATCTCTATGTCTATCTCTCTCAGAGAGAGAGAGAAAGACTCTGTATATATATTATATACATATATCTCTATGTCTATCTCTCTCTCTATATATGTATTATATACATATATCTCTATGTCTATCTCTCTCTCTCTCTCTCTCTCTCTCTCTCTCTCTCTCTCTCTCTGTATATATATTATATACATATTCTCCGTATATGTCTCTTTCTATATCTCTCTTCCTATCTCTCCCTGTCTCTCTCTGTCTTTATTCGTTTATCCATCTGGCTCCCTCTTTCCCTCAAGCTCTCTCCACCTCTTTCGCTCTCTAAGCACTCTCTCCCTTGCTCTCTCTTGACTCCTCGTTCATTTTTGACTTCCTTTGCACAATTTGAGTTAGAGCCCAGCACTTTCTCAGTTCTCCTCTCTCTCCTTTTTTCTCCTGCTCTGATTTATTCTTAGATTTTAGTATTTTGTAGACAAGTCGTCAGGTTATTTCCCCAAGCGCTTGGCGTGTTTGCCAAATCTCAGATAGCCTGGCCAAGAACGGTTAACTGGACTGGCCAAAACAAATGAGAAAAAAAAAAAAACAACACAAAGAGCTGATCTCGATTGCAGTTGAGACACGAACATTGACTTTGAGTGGAGCTTTGGCAGTCCAAGCACGCCATGCTCGCCTTACTCAATGTTCCATTTAGGCGCTGACATTTGGCTCCGACTCCAGGCTTTGGCTTCTCTTTCGGTTTCTGTCAATTTGGCCGCCGTTTGATTTGTCGCCCCGGCTGACAGCTGGGCATATATCATGTGCGCAACTCCTCCAACAAGCTGATTTTAAATTCAAATTTTCCTGATGTTTGGGCCTGATGAAGAGCTCAAAGTCGTATTCATAAATCAGCTCATATATATATATATGTATATATTAATGTGCATGTATTTCTTCTTTTGTCTTATAGCACAAGCTACCCGGAAGCCATCTCGCTGTTGACCAAACTGCTGCAGGCGAAGCACACGAATACGTTGCTGGCCTCCACGCAGACGCTGCTGCAGCATCGCCTGCCCCTTGGCTCCTATTTGCTGAAACCGGTGCAACGCATACTCAAGTACCATCTGCTGCTGGACGTAAGTGGAGCCAACATGAGAGTTTCCAGCAATTGCATCTTTATCTCTCCCTCTCTCCCTCTCTCTCTCTTTCAGAGCCTGCGCAAGCACTGCGATGTGAAGGAGGTAACTGAGGCGTATGCCATAATGCGACAGGTAGCGCATCACATAGACCAGGTGAAGCGTCAGCAGGAGCAGCAGAGTCGTGTCAAGGAGCTGTCCGGCATACTCGACGGCTGGATGGGACCAGGTGAGTCCGACCTACCGAGTCTACACGTCTCTCTGGCCAGGCCGACATTAACCAGAATTATTCCCTCAATGACGCTGCAGATCTGAGCGTGCTGCGAGAACTGAGGCACGAGGGCTTGCTCATGGAGCAGCACAACAAGCCGCGTCAGGTGCTCCTCTTCGAGACGATGCTGATCATTACCAAGCAAAAGGAGGACGGCCGTCTGCAGTTCAAGAGCCTCATAACCGTAAATAGAGCCCTATCGAAAGCTGACCTCGCAGCGAATCACTCACTCAACTCTCTCTCTCTCTCTCTCTCTCTCTCTCATTTGCAGCAAAAAAATCTAATGCTGAGCGAGCATTTGCCCGGCGAGCCGACCAGCTTCTATGTCATACCCTTCGATGACCCGCGCAATCAAATCAAGCTGACGGCCAGAAATCGTGACCAGAAGCGCATCTGGACGCAGCACATCAAAGATGTGATGCTCCAGGAGCTGGATATACCCACTCGTGCCAAGGAGCTTGTCTACCAGCTGGGCAACGAGGAAGGTGAGCCCCAACAGAGCTGAGCTGAGCGGAGCTGTCTGCCTCAAGCAGCCCATCAACTCTTTATAGTTATTTTCTTTGTTTTTGTTTTTGTTTCTGCATAGCCGCTACCTGTGTGTCTTAAATGTTTGTATTTCCACGTTGTTGTTGTTGTTGTTGTTGTTATTGTTGTAGTTGTATTTGTCGTTGTTGTCACTGTTTGCTTGTATTTGCTTTTTTAGTTTTTGCAATATTTTACGGCAAGCTATGATGATGATGTAGTGTAGTTACAGTTATGCGGGCACACGTGCAAATGCACTGCTCAAAAAAATGGCGACTGAGCTGCCACGTTTAGCTTTCAAAGCTCATTAGATACACTGACAAAAAAGGCTTGTTAAATGATGTACAGTGGCTCTTAGAGTTAATCTTACACTGCAAACTATTTTTATGAAGGATGAAAGGAAGAAAACTCCAAGAGCTTTTAAAGCGTATTAAAGCTTCCAAAAGCCGAAATATTAGAGTATATTAAGAGAGAGCTTCTCGAAGAACATTCAATGAAAAGCCATGAAAGCTAAAGGTACAAGCCAAGTTCCTTAATTTAATTAAAATACTTTGAGTTTGAATCCCTAGACTCTACAATTTTATTCTTAATAACCATATAAAACTCTGTGATATCTATAGTCTATTTAGAAGCTTAGAAACTCTCTCAACTAAATAAAACTCGCCTCGACAGATATCCTTTAAAAGCTCACTCACGCACATAAATTAAGGTATTAATTAAGAAAGCATTCTATACATGCAACCGAGCTCTCCATTTAACTGAAAGCTCTACTCGAAATTTCGACTGCAGGGGGATAAAATCCCTCACTCTCTCCTCCCAAGAGCTAGCTTGATTTCTTGCAGTGCAGTTCTGCACTTCATATGCCTCTTCAGCCTGCTGCTGGCTGGGACTCGACTGAAGTGACATAACCATGTCTTGAAATACTTTTCAGTTAGTTTATTTTCGCGCTAAGCTCCTTTTATGTGGCTGCAAATCGTGCCACATCTGGCGCTCTCGAGTTGATTTATGTCTGTGTGTGTGAGTGTGTGTGTCTATATAAATATATATACATACATACATATATGTATGTATCTCAGATGTTTGCACATTTTTAATTGCACATGCTTTGTGCGCAACTGTACTTGCCATCAGATTTATGACGCCTGCATAATGTTATATAATTGGTTTAAGGCTCCCATTCGACTAACCCTAATGCAAATGCTTATTGGTGTGTGTAACTCTTCATTTAACCTTAGTATGTGTGTTAATCTCTCTCAACTATTATCTACATTTATACAGACATATACCTACTCTATATATACTCTTATATTTTTGCTATATGTTTACCGTTGTAGTACTACCAGTGACGCAATTTAAAACTAAACCACCCAAACCAAACAAGAAACGAAAACTTTAACTAGTTTCTAAGGCGTTCCCTAAGGCTAAACACCAGAGACTGAATAACTAAGCGCTACTTTCTTCTATAATCCCAGCCCCCAAAAACAAATAACAAAATAAAACAAACAACTAAAATTGAATTAAAGTACAATTTCTAGTAAATTAACTTAACTGTTAACTGCCAATTGTTATCTTTAAACTCTGTAATCGTAATCGTAATCGTAATCGTAATTAGTTAAAATATTTGCTGGTATTTGCGGCGCCCAGACGTAGTCTTATTAATCCGATATATCCGATCGCTGCCTCGTAAGTATTTCGAGTTATCAATTTACACACGTTTTTCCACTCTAACTTGGCTTGTGAAACTTTGCTCTAATTGGCTTCTATCTGCTTCACTGGTCTTACGTCCAGCATGTACGCATTCCTAACCCCATTAACTACGATCAGCATGCACACACAACACTACTAACACTGAAAATCGCCTCTAAGGACACTTCAGCTATTCGGATTGCGCTTGAAGTTATAATAATGACGTCACGAGAGGGCTTATAGTAAACACTTAAAGCTAGCATAATAGAGCTTTAATTTGTCTTTCACTGAAGCACTTCAAGTTGGGATTAATCCTGGGAAAAATCTGTCTCCCTCTCTCTCTCTCTCTCTGAAATCTAGTGCTTTATTGCTTTATTGTATTCGAATGTGAGAAACTTGTAGATAATAAATGCTCTCAAAAATATCTATACTGTTGCATTACAAAGCTGATCAAGAAATAGGTGAAGAAGCTTAAGATTAAACAGATATTAAGATGGATCCAAAGGTTAAAGTAAGTACCTCGTATGGTTTTAATAAACCTTATACAAAAAAATTAAAAAATGAATAAAAAATTGAAATTAAAATACAAAATTGATCTAAAGATTCTACAGCTTATAATATTTAAAAAAAAAAAAAAAAAAAAATACCAAAAATTAAAGTAATTAGAATACAAGTAAATTAAGACAGATATAAACTAAACAACATTCATTTCGCTTTGAACGCTCTTTAATTTAAAATAGATAAGCCAGATAGATACAAAAACTCTTGAGTTAAAATACGGTAGTATCCGGTTATAACGACTTCTATCTGGAGATCACAATGTATATCTATATATATGTATATATAGAAAAGGCAAAGACTTTTTGAAATGCTTCCCCTTTGATAGCCATCTGAAGCGAGTGTCCTTGACTATCCTTACCTAAATATAAGTACGCATGCTTGCAGGAATGGTTGTGGCTTGTTGTTGATGCAGTTGCTCTGGTTTGCTAGTGCTTAGAGAACGTTGCTGGTGCGTCCCTCGAACTTGTTCATACTCTCATTACAGCGTCTGCTTGCCTTGCCACGCCCCCACTCGAATGTCTGGTATTTGATTTATATATTTATATATATTTTTTTGTGACTTCGTTAGATCGCACGCCCGATCGCAGCACCTGGAAGTGGAGCCTGAACTCGAGCAGCAACTCGACGCCCACGTATCTGGAGCGGCGCAACGCTTGCCGGCGCAGTGAGATTCGCTTGCGCAATTCCAAATTTAAGCGCAAGACGCTGACCAACTCCAGTTCGTTTGACAGCTTCAATGAGTCGCTGGAGCAGCCCTCGCCGGAGCAGGCAGCGGCAGCAGGAGTCGCCACCAAGCCGGCCAAGCCGCTGTCGCGCAACAACAGCCTGGACGACACGGCGCTGCAGAAGCTGGCCGCAGCCGTGCGCTATCGCAACAAGCGCGACTCCAAGTCCAGCGCCAGCAAGGAGCACTGCAAGTGCGAGGCACAGCAGCAGCAGCAGCAGGAGCAGCAGGAGCAGGAGCAGTGCGGGTGCATATTGCGGGAGCAGCGCAGTCGCACCAAGTCGCAGAGTCCAGTGTTTAGCTACAAGGCGCTCAAGGAGCGCAGCAAGTCGGTGCCGCGGATCAGCGGCTTCAGCCTGGACGAGCAGCAGCAGCAGCGGGAGGCAGACGACGATAGCGCCGCCTCGCTGCGCGGCAGCAAACCCGATCTCAGCGAGCGCAAGGCCAAGGCCAAGGGCTTCTTCGAGGTGAAGCAATACAATCACAAGACGATGCCCAAGCGCATTGCCACGCTGAAGAAGCAGAGGGGCAGCAGCGGCGTTGGCAATCGCAAGGAGAGCTGCTCCACGTTCTACATGGATCTTAGTGAGTTTGACAGCTCGGCCGTGCTGAAGATCACCGAGTCCACGGAGGACCTTGAGCTGGCCGAAGAGGCGCAGGAGACCAAGGCGGAACAGTATTACGACAGCCAGCAGGAGACGCAGCCGACGCCCGCTGAAAAGGCGAAGCGGGATGCAGAGATCGTCCTGGATCTGCTGAAGAACACCAAGGAGTTCGAGCGCATCTACAACAAGAACAAGCAGCAGAAGCAGCGCCGCGAGAGCAGCCAGGCCACGACACCGCAGAGTCCCAGTCCGGAGGAGGCGCCTCCATTGCCGCCCCGTCCGCCCTCGCGTTCGCCGCCGCCGCTGGAGACGGAGCAGCTGCAGCAGCAGAAGCAGGAGCAGGAACAGGAGGAGGAGCCCATTTATGAGACACTGCTGCGCAACGTCCACGTGCCCTACAAGTTCTCCCCAGTGCTGGGGCGCGCCAAGTCCGTGCAGTATTTCAAGAAGCGAACGCCCGCCCCACGACCCGAGTCGGACTACGTGACGCTGGTCTATTCGCCGGACGGCGTGCTGCAGCGCGTGGGCGAGGATGCAGTGCAGCAGCAGCAGGAGCAGCGTGACAGCACCAGCTCGGAATCCAGTTCGGGCTCCACTGTAAAGCGCGACAGCCAGTCGACTGTCATCAATCTGAGCCTGGAGTCCACCACCACGAACTCAGAGGCGGATCAGATCGATGCGCTTTACGCGCGTCCCATACCAAAGAACCTAATGAAGCGTCTGCTCAATGGTAATGGCACGTCGAGTGGTCAAAACGTGAGCAACTCGGAGATCTCGCTGCTGCCGCGTGCTCTCAAGTCCATCGATAATCTGAGCATGGCCTTTGGGCGCACTCCGAATCGTCCGCCCGAGCGTCGCGTCTCCGATGTGAGTGAGATGTGCCGCCAAAGCATTTTGCATCGCCAAGGCAGCGAGGCGGTGGGCGAGCGCATGGCCCACGTCGACTATGCGGATCCAAAGACGCTGTTCAGCATCGTTGCCAGTTCGGAGGCATCGTTGCAGCGCGATTCTGTCTTCTCGCTGACCTCCTCCTCGTGCACCTCCAGCGACAGCATGTGCGATCAGCAGCGCAAGCGCTCTGCCGCTGAGCTGCCTGCGTCCGGTTTTGAGTATGAGCAGCATGTGGAGGACAGCTTGGAGAATGATTTCCGTGATTCGGCCATCTACAGTGACGACAACAACGAGAAGCGCAGCACTGACTACGATGTGAAGCGGCCACGCAGTCCACCACCCCCGCCGCCTGCCAATGGATGCGAACGTCATCCATCGCCTCCACAGATAGCGCCGAAGCCAACGAAAGCAACGCTGCAGGAACTGCTGGGACATCATCCCAGTGTGGTGATCTGTCCACCGCATCTCAGCCAGGCGGCGTCGCGCAGCTGGGTGCTCCAGCAGATCGAGAACTTCAACAAGTAAACCAGTCGAGAAAAATTCCTTTGTCCATTGCCATAGAAATTCATCCTGTTTGTATTTTTCATGATTATTATTATTATTAATTAATTCTTGTATATATGGAAATACTTTTAAAATAGCGACTATCTATATGTATATAAAATGTACGTGTGCATCAGCCCAAATTGTAAGAGTTGTAGATATTTTATGCAATGTGTAAGTGTAATTCTAAGATTAAATAATATTTCAGAATTTTATAGGATTTATATGTGCTCTAGCAACATATTCATTCAATTTGCAATATATAATAGTATATAATAGCATTGTACCAGCTAAAAATTACAATAAAACAAATAATTTAATAAAAACAAAGGAATATGTCTTCGATTTATCACATATGCAGATTTAAATATTTAGTTGGCGCTAAACGTTTACCTGAAAATGTTGCATACTTTTCTGGTGTGCAAGAGTTGAGAAAATCAAATTATCAGTGCATACTTTCAGGCATGGCAATAAAATGTACTCGTTGCTAAATGAATAGTAGCATACTTTTGTGCTGATTCGTATATCGGCTGATGCAATATTTTGCTGCATGCTTTTGGGCATGTCTATAACTGCCGAAATATACAAATCCATTGCATACCCGCGAGGGCTGACCATTGGATATTATAATTTATAAGAAAAAAATAAAAAAAAACATCAAAATGGAATATCCTGGGCATATCCTTGCTTATGAACACGGTGTGTTCGCATCGTTAGGACCTCCTCTGTCGATCCCCATCAAAATATTTTGATGTCATCTAAGAATCCATGACTTGTAATATTTCTGCTTCTGGCTGGTCCAGCGACCGAAGGATATCAGCCAAAACACACAAAATCGCCAATATCTTGGCAACCGCTGATGCGATTCGGATGTCCTTTGGCCAGTCGATAGCTCTGGTGACCCCACATTGTTTGATGCCATATTTGTCAGGATACGCAGGACTGCTGAGGAACTATAGGCGTTTTTCTCTAAAAAAAGAAGTCCTTATAACTCAGCTGTTTGAAGGACTATCATCCTTCTGATGACAAATTCGTCCTCAGCCAGATGCAGGCTTTTTTTGCCCCAATGGACATCCCGATAGTCCTTCAAATGGCCAAGTTAATATGCACGTTGGCCACTTTCTGACCAAACCCCTTGCAAAAATTGAGGAAAAATTTTTCGTGGAAATTCGGAAATTCTTGAATGCCAATCGATAGTACTCTCTCTCACGAGCTCAGAAAGGTATGTCATTTAGATATCCTCAAGGATATGACCGAGTTATGGCATCATGAAAATATCCTGTTTTAAGTAAAATAGCTATAACTTCACCAAATCCTAAGGGATTTTTACAGGAAATAGTGCATTAAGCCCGGAAGGATCAGCTGCATTGATCCAAGTTATATTTTGGTGGTGTTATCTAAGGACCAAAGGACATAATTTTCACAAATAATTGGAATACTGTGCTACGCAGAGATTTGCATACCTACCGCTGTTTCTGTTCGTCCGGTCTTTAGTTGCTATTTATATAGAAATTTTTCAATGGAAATAAAAAATCAGGTTTGATTATTTTTTTTTTCTTTAATATTTTATATTCTTGTTTTTTCTTTTAAATTTTCTTATAATGTATTATTAGTGTACCGAAATTCACATTATAATATATTATAAATCAATTATGATATAAACAAATACACATATATATAATCATATAATAAAGATACATTATTGGAGACACAAATAACTTTTTTAGTTATAGACAGACAACATTTCATAACGGCAAGAGCTGTAGTGGCCTTTGAGAGTCCATCCTGTGCCTTCAATACCATTTTGAACTGACTGTTCAAAGAAGAATACAGAAATTTGTATATTGTACTAAATATTTTTATATTTATTTAAATATGTGCCCTTACAGTTGAACTGATATCAGCGAGTCAAGCTGTATAAGTATCCAGATAAGACTGTTGTAGAGCTGCTGTTCCAGAGAGCTAATGTTTACTGATTGCGCCGCTATTTAGAACTAATGTGTCAAAAGTAAATAATTCGCCAAGTTCATGTTCCTTCCGTTTCTTTTTTGATGTTCATGAATTTACTGGGAATTTACTATCGGGAACGACTGGAAGCAGCTGCTAAGGGCAACGCCTAGCTGCGCCATCTAACGATTGGCAGTTTTTTTATACAAACATAATCTAATTTTAAAGCGAGTTAAATAACTTAAATAAATATAGATGTAGCATAATTAAGAACATATTTTCCAAATAAAAATATATATCAAGGTTTAAGGGTTTAATATTAATATTTAAGCTAATCAACGAAACCGACAGAAAATAAATCAATATCTTTATTTATCTTACAGTTTTACATATATACATTAAAAATTTTGTTTCATTTTCAATATTAAGCTGCACGGGGAGCTGCAGCATTTCCAAACCCATTTTATAGAGAATCAGTTGAAAGAACTGTGGCACCACTCATAATGCAGCTTTATACAAGAATAAACAGGAAACAGGTTTAAAATTTGTTTGAACAATTGTCAAACCACTGTCAGAACATATTTATTTGCTTAAGCTTTTATGCCGATTGCTTTGCTATAAAGCTGCAAATTTCGTAGGCTCTGATGTCATTTTTAACTGAATCGTACAATTGGCATTGAGTCATTTCTCTTTCCGCAGATATGAAACTTTTATTGCGGAACAGATGTGCAGCCCGAAAGGCCCAAGCCGAAGCGAAGCTCAAATCTCTACCGCTATCAACAGCACCAGCTACAACAACAACAACAACAAGCAGAGCAAATTCAACAAGTTCTAAAGAAACTGCAACAAATGCAACGCATGAGTTGAATGAAACAAAACCACTTTACAGCTAATTAATAGTCGGGGAAATATTGAATAGCTTCAGAGCCACACTGATATGATATTCTAATAGCTTCTACAGAACGTGTTTACTGCATCGTAACTTGTTTTTCACATTAAATTACATAAAAAAAAAACTTTTTATGAGCGATTAAATTGATGGTGCTGGGCGAATTCCCTAGATAATTATCAATAAAGCAATGGGTTATTAGATATATATGTAAATGCAGATAAGATTTTGCATAACTCGAATCATAAAGAAACGTAAGTCCCCTTATATCCGGAAGCCTAATCAGTTTAGCATATTTTCAATTTACACTCATTTTATTTATATACACTTAAATTACAACTATTTACATAGCTATTTATATGGTTAAGAGTAGCTTAAGCTGAAGGTGACAATTTGTTACTGCACATTTCGCCTGGGATGTATATAGTAGGAGCCCGGCTCATCGTCCTCCCTGTAGATGGCGCTCAGGATAAGGAATAGGCTGGCAATGGCCAAGGCGCGCGCCACATAGCCAACGCTGCGATAAACAAAACTGCGATTACTATCGGACATTGTCGATAACGATAGTTGGAAGAAGTGTGTGCACTAATCAAGCGTAGCAGCTGAACTAACTGTGTCGCACAAGCCATTCAACACTTTTATTAGAGCTGCCCGCCATGTGTATGCATGTGTGTACGTGTGTATGTGTATGAGATTGTGATTTACCCGCAGAGCGAGATTACAGCGTATTGGGAGAAAAACCCAAAGTTCTGACAGTTGTGTATCTCCCGCTCTGCAGATCTTTCAACTGGCATTCAATTTCAAAGCGCACCATTTGACAGCCATGCAAATTATTTATTTGATTCTTTTTTATATTTATTTTTGGCATGCGAACGTTCAGCTTATACGTGAGACGAATTTAAAACAATCAGAATTGCGGCGCAAAACATATTCTTTGACCAAAATGTTCATTTAATTGGGCTCTGGACGGCTCTTAAACCGGCCACAAAAAAGATTCCAGAAATCTGTGGAACACAAATTGAAAATAATTAAGTTTTTACTTTTAAATTTTTCCCTTACCTCATTCGCCGCTGAAATTGTGGCAAATGGCAGAAATGAGATATTTTACAAAGAATGCGAAGTGGCAGCTGCAGCACGAAGAATGCCGGGGCCAGCAGCAATTTCTTCAATTGCAACATTCTAGAAACTGTTGATGTCCTGTCAAGGATGTGCCATCGACTGAGCTCAGGATCACAATATGTACAGGTAAGGTAGCCTAGCCAGGTAATGAGCGAGCCAGCGAGAGGGCTGAGCACAGAGAGAGAGAGAGAGAGAGAGAGAAAGGAAAAACGAAGACTGAGAGAAGCAAAAATCGAGGGCTGAGATTTTGACTAGAAGTTAATAGTATATGAAGGAATTGAGAACAAAAACTGTAAATATATTTAACTTAATATTTATAATTAAAAATAAATATATATTTATATTAATTGAAAACAGAATTTCAATGAATACATGTATGAATGAAAACCTTTTAAGCCACCCTCGCATAAGATAATATATGTATATGACAAACAACTACTGTAGTAATCTAAGCCCACGACAGCTTTATAAATTTGAGTGAATTTGAAGTATAAATAATCTATATGAAATTGGAGTCTGAAGGGACTGCATCAATAGACAATTGTTTGATTTGTATAGCTCATTGATTTTGGGGCGGGAAGTGCATTGAACTTGAGACGAGTAAATGTTACTAAATATAGAACACACGACGACTCCAACGGCTGTTGGCTGTTCCGCTTAGTTCCGCTGCAGCTCTGAATCCGCCACTTCCTATGTAGCTATAAATATGCATCCCCATCCGATGCGACTAGACAGCTGGCAGCTATAGGTATATGTATATTTAGAAAAATAGTGGATGCTGCCGCCAAGGCCAGTCCAGTGCAACGTGCAGCGCCATGGAATTCAGAAGTGTGCCTATTCTGCCAACCTATGCAGAATCCAGGTGTGCATCGATATATATATATATATACTAAGAACGTAATTGTTTAATTGAAAATTTCTTATTGTGCAGCCCGGATAACAAGGAAACCTCTCTATGTCCCTATAAGAAGTTGAAATCACCTGATCCGGTCATCATACTGATCACCTTGACCGTGCTAGTGGGCTCATTTTGCCTGCTAAGTGGCTTTATACTCCTCTGTGTGGTATCCAAGGCGTGGCAGGATGATACATCTGAGGCTATTCTCTTAATGGGTAAGTCTCAATTCTGTCTTTTGGATCGTCGTTCGGTTTGTTATTCTATATGTAATCCTCAATTGCAGGCATTGGCTTCTTCATCACATCATTATCCTGCGTCACTTGGAAATTGACGAAGACGCAGCGCTTGACCCAATTAAGGGAGACCATTGCGATTTAGATAAAACTTTTTAAAATAGGCCTAAATATTGTTATGTATGTATAGATGCCAACAGCTAATTGTTGCTGGCAATATAGCTAAAGTCCAACGTATGTATATCACATTATTGAGCTATGTACAAATAAGCTAACTTCTCTCCGGTGACCACAACTATATATTGTAATAATGGTCACTAGGCAATGCGATTGGGGGCTAAATTTTCATACTAGTATATTACAGTTCATAGACAAATTTAAATTTCTGATTTATTGATAACATATCAATATTTAATCTTTTTTTAACGATAAGAATTATTCCGATAACTATCGGCGAACGGGCATCAAAACTATTAGTCGCTTGCATTTTCAAAATGTATTACATTTTTAAATTTCTTTCAGCATGAATATAAAAATCATATATGTATATATATATAATCTTTATAATTTGAATCAAACAGCAAAACGAATCGATGTTTGTCAAATGAAAACCCAACTCATTTGGCACCGTTAAAAAGTAAATTTGAGTTTGTAATAATATATAAAATTAAATGGTTTTTCGCCAAGTGCAATCAAGTTATCAGCAATGTTTACAAAGATTTAGCAAAATACGACTCTTTTCAGTAGTTTCTATCGTCAGACCGCAAATTATAAAATTAACGCGGTTAAATTCAGACACCCGACTAACAACATATATAAGCGGATTCCACTTATTGTTGGATAACTAATTGTTTCTTTTTAATAATTTATTATTTAATTTATATTGTAACGCAAATTTACATTCAAATATGTATATTTTAAAAATGTCAAACAATAAAATGCAACACTAACCAGTCAAAACAGTTAGTGCAGCTGTTAATAACAGTTCAGCGATATGTTAAGTAATGAGCGAACCATTCAGTTCATTTGAACATCAGTTACTTTTGCATGTGCACCTTTTGTTTTTGTTTACAATTGAAGTTCGTTACAATTTTGTTCTGCACAAAATTTATATGTTAAAAAGTGAATATAATGTCTGTTATCGGTTCTGTTATTATATAATTTGTTCGCGACAACGCGCGTCAGAGCCTGCAACGAAAGTTCCTTTTCCACAAAATAGGAAAATATATAAACAAGCAGGGCACGACAATTAAAGCGACGCTTGCTTAACGACTTGTCAAGAAGGCAAGTGAAATAATATACAATCGTTTCTTCTTTATGATGCGTGCGTCATAATTGGCACGATAATTACCACCCACCTTCATCGTCACTATAAATAGTACAGAGGTTCACATCCCATACCTTTGGCCCTGGCTATTGATTTTGTTATTGCACGTGATGCCAAGACAAAAACTCAATAATCTATGTAAGTATTCCGTGTATGTGTGCATGTGTGCTTGTTTCTATGTGTCACTATGTGCGTATTGCTGCCAACGGCCATTTTGACTTTTGAACGCAGCCCGCTGCCGGGTCAAAACCCAGAAGCAGCACGAATCATGGCTCATTGCTGTTTTGTAAGCCATTGGCAATATATCATTTAAATATATCATTTCGAGTTGTTTTTTTTTTCGAAGTTGGTGTGTCACACCAAAAATATAAATTATCTAAATTTTATTGTTTTTCAAATTTTGTTATTCTGTTTTTATTTTATACATATATTTCTTTAAGGTAAGCGCACAAGCCCGCAAATCATTGGAACCTAATATTATGCAAGGCGGCAATAAAAGTGTACAATATACTTTATCTAGTTGTAGACGCTATATACAAAACATACATATATAGAGAGTCGAGAGATATATATGCTAGTGGCACTCGCTAGTGATAAGCACTATTAGTTATTAGTTATTCGCACTGCTGCCTTGCAATTATGTTTGGCGCCTTTGTCCACCTACCGTTGAAGACGGCGGCGACGATGACGATGACGTCAAAAGCCCAACTGATCAATATTGAATTGTTAAAAATGAGACGAATCGCGCTAATGTTTAGCCATAGTGCAAGTAGATGTTCGAGTGCTGCAGTCCCCCTCCTCGAACCCCAACAACTGCAACGACAACTATATCGACGACAATCCCAACAACTCCGATTTAAACAGGAACTGCTGTGAGTGTGCGAGATAAGCCCCTAAATAAGTTTAAAGTGAAACGAATCAAATGTTGTGTATAAGTCTCTTCGATCTGATAACATGGCTCGGGTTCGAGTGTCCGCCTGATCACCCGCCCGTCCACTCGTTAACCCGCTCAGCTGCCACCTCTTCGCCCGCTCGTCTGCCAGCTATTATGAGCACCTCGTTCTATCAATTAAGGCCCATTCAGATGCAACTACTCATACTATAAGTCCAGAGAGAGCAGAGACTTGTCTACAATTTGTCGTTGACTAAATGCCCTTGCAAATGGTAGCTGTATTTCGGCCTTAGTGCTCCGATATATAGGCGGAAACTTTGTCCAGATATTGTCAGCAAAATGTGTTAAAGATATCTTGATAGCTAATATACGTGTGATAAGGGTCCCGTTACTGATAAGATTTTGGCTAGGTGTAAACTATGGAGGGCATATCATAAAGTTTTTCCGAGTCAAAATCGCCGTATGTAAAGTGCGGACCAAATATTTTGTTGCTTCTTTATTATCGTAGCTTCATCAGAACATAATGTAGAGGGAATATCGTAAATTTACTTGAGCGAACACCGAGTATTGTAGAGCGAATATCGTAAAATGTTAATTTATTCGAGTTAACATTGCGGCATTTAGTCGTATGTAAAGTGACTAGTTAGTATCAGCATTTAGTCATAAGTAAAGCGTTTTACGATAACGGAAATATCGTAAATGTGTTTGAGCTAAGAAGGTAGCATTTAGTCATTCGTCAATTGCAGAGGGAATATCTTTGGAGTTAAGATCTTATTAATTTTTAGGGTAATTATTATAGCATAGTCTACATGGCATCGACTCAAATTATCTGATGCGAATCCGCAGCAGGTTCTATAAATCATATCAAGAGCAATTTCAAAGCCAAGCATGCCCATTGCAAGGGTATAAGAACGATAAGATATGGCTCACAGCCCAAACCTCCATCCAATAGTATATGTGCTTATAAATATGTTCGCGTGTATATATTTACATATGTACAGATCATATCATATCAGGCCGAGTAGTGGCAAACAGTGTCCGTAGTTCCATTCAGCAATTTGTTCATACAGATATAGATATAGTAGTTATTCATATGCATGTGCATATGCATATGTATAAGTCTCGCAGTTGCCACTGTCACAAATTGTAATTTTTTATTTCGCACGCCTTTAATCCAAAATTGCAGCCGCTGCCCCGCTCGGGATCAAAGTAGCAAGTCAACTTGTCGAGGAATACACACGGAGCCATTCGGTCAGTCAGTCAGCATGTTCCACTCGATGTACGCGTACCTGTCGCACCTGCCGCGCCTGCACGCCCTTGGCATTGCGGTCTTCGCCTATGTCATCTATTACCTCATTCAGGTGGTAAAGGTGAGTGAATAAACGTGACTTACGCAACAGCTTAGTCAATTGTCTTTCACCCGAGCTAACGAAAGTTTCGTAACACAATATTCAGCGGCCGATCATTGCCTGCGCCGATGGGCCGTTCAAGCAGTATCTGATCAAGAAGATGCCCACGCTGGAGAACAAATACTGGCCGACCTTCTGGTGTGTGGAGAGTCGGGCACAGACTGTACTTGCGAGCCTGCTGCGCTCCAAGAGTTTGCCCCGTGTCAATTATCGACGGTAAGTCATTGCTGCCAAGGAAATCAGATATTCAGTCTGTCAGCTATTCAGCAGCAATGCCTATTAAACCATATGATGACAGACTTTTTAGTATTCTTTGCAATTTGAAAAGGTCTTGAGCCGAACACAGATTGCTCGGCGTAAACATTGTAGTAAATATAACTCAATTAGTGACAAGAATGCGCTGTTCTCGTTGAAAAATGGTTCACAATATAGGCAGAAGCATATACGGTTCATAGAGTATATATGTATCTCCAGATTGATTAGATTTAAAGTAGACGCGCTAAATGGCAATTCAATTCAATAGAATTCTAGAATTAAACAAGCAAGAATGTTGCAGTCGAGCCGCATCGACTGCATAATACTCATTCACGAGGTTTGCATTAACTTCGCTTTCAAACTTAAACAAGATATAATATCTTATTAAAAAAAAATCTCTATGAGAACGAACCAATTTTATATTATATAGATTAGATATTAAGAGACTAATCTAATCTAATTATACTTCTTACCTATTTCAAATATCTTTCAAGTGTCTTGCTCTCTTTACTCACAGTGAAATACTCAGACTGAAGGATGGCGGGGAAGTGGCGCTGGACTGGCTGGAGGAGGGCTGCGACGAGCGGGCTCCTTGCGTGCTGATATTACCCGGGCTGACGGGCGAGTCGCAGGCCGAGTATATTAAATGCCTGGTGTTTGCTGCCCAGCAGGCGGGCATGCGTGTTGTTGTCTTCAATAATCGAGGTCTGGGCGGCATCGAGCTAAAGACGCCGCGTCTCTACTGCGCTGCCAACTGCGAGGATCTGTGCGAGGTGGTGCATCATGTGCGCCGCACATTGCCCGTCGACTGCAAACTGGGTGCCACAGGCATATCCATGGGCGGTCTAATACTAGGTGAGTAATCAATGCACATAAATCAATTGTTTACCAATTAATTAACTCTCGCGGCAGGCAACTATTTGGCCCGAAAGAGCGATGAGGCGCGCATAAATCTGTCGGCGGCCAAGATCATATCGGTGCCCTGGGACGTGCACAAGGGCAGTGCCAGCATTGAGAAGCCGGTCATCAACAACCTATTGGGGCGTCATCTGGCTGGCAGTCTGTGTCGCACGCTACGCAATCACCTAGAGGTGTACAGAGACATCTATCAGGATTCGGAAATAGATATACAGCGCATACTGCGAGTAAGTAAATTAATTACAAATGAGGTTAAGACACAAGCTAAAGTAGATTTTCAAATTCACCTCTAGTGCAAGACCATCAAGGAATTCGATGCGTTGTTTACGGCCAAGCAGTTTGGGTATGCGCATGTGAATGATTATTACACGGATGCCACGCTGCACAATAAGCTGGATCACATTTCTGTGCCGTTGCTCTGCTTGAGTGCAGCGGATGATCCGTTTCAGCCGCTGGATGCGATACCTATCAAGGCGGCCAATCAGTGCACGCACGTGGCCATTGTAATCACCGCACGTGGTGGACATATTGGTTTCCTCGAGGGCTGGTGGCCATCGACCAAGGATCAATACATGTCCCGGCTCTTCACCGAGTACTTCACCAAGGCACTGTACGACGAGGATGGAGAATTCGAGCGTGCCTCCAATAAAATGCACGAGCGCTTCTTGGCCAAGAAAACCATGGAGTTGACCGCGAGCCTGAACGCGCCAGCAGCTGCTGTCCTGGTGGATAAACTGGAGCAGCACAAGCTGAAGCTAATGTAGATCAGCAGCAACCAGACGTCGATTAAAACCGAAAACATATTTATATATTTATAAACAAATAACTATATATATATAATAGAGATGCGTGTGCAGCAGACACCAGCTGGAGACTTGTGATATGAAATTAGAACAAAATCCAAAGTGTTATTAACTCCCTAATAGAAAAAAAAAGATACTAACAAAGAATTACTCTTAACGCAACTATTTGATGAAACGATTCGACAGCTGTTAGATTTAACCAAAATTAACGCTAGCATATGTGTATATCTATTAGAGACATATCAACGAATTGGAACAGTGAACCAAAAGCTTTAAAATTAATTCATATGTTTTTTAGTGAGTACAAAATGCAAATCGCAATTTAACAAACTAACTATATAGAAAATACACTTAACTATGACACAGAACAATAATCTTACTCAGAAAACTATATAAAAAAAAAATATATATATATATATATATATATATATATATACTATTTTTTAATTCCATATATATATATATATATTAATATAAACATATATATATTTAAAATCTAAATAAACAAATTGAATAGAACGCTTAAGCATAAAGATTGCATTCATTTCGCATATAGTATACAGAAGAGGCAATTGAAAACAATTTCATATAGCTTAAAAACACGTACGTTAAATTTTAGAATATAAAAAACGGTTGTATTTCGGTAGCTATTGGATCTATATCGGCTTGTAGAGCAAAGTTGTGACATATTTCTTGCAGTAGCGATGCGTCGCACTCAGCACCATGACACCGTCTTTGATGGATAGGGCGTACAAATGGTTCAACATCACATGGTTCGGTTCGGGCAGCAATGTCGGCTCGCACTACAATTTATACAGAGAGCAAATATAAATATAATATGCATAACGATTACACAGCGAGAGACTATAGTCTATAGACTACAGACTTTAAGCAAGCCTCAGCACTTGACTTTTACATGTAGATCACGTCATTTCCCACACACACATACACACGCGGGGCTTTGGAGGTCGTAGCAACTAGAGCAACTGCTGTTTTGACAAAACTGTAAAGCACGTTTAGATGACGCTCTTTGTAAAGCTTTGAGTGAAAATGGCTGATTACATTTGAGCGCTATATACATACATAAAACATTCATATTCATCCAGTACAACGATTGGAAATAGTTGAAGACTGCAGCGCAAAAGGTAAGTGCAGTTTAGCTGCTCAAGCTTAAGCCATTATGTAGTTATACATCTTCAATCAGTTAATTACTTAACTACAACAAGTAACTAGTCTTATTTCTGAAAAGCCTCTCTGATTCAGTTATAATTCAACTGCTGCAATCAGCATATATGTATCTTCAGGTAGTCACATTAGTCATCCAGTCCCTACTATTAATCAGTCCAGCTGTTATGCTTTCGACTAAACAGATTATCAAATTTAAGCAGTCATTTCCTGCCTCCATTAATTAATGCAGATATATACCTCTACGTTTCCACATCTTATCAGAGTACAGCCCTCTGTTGTACATCTTTAAACTTCCAGTAACTCAATCTATTATCAATAAACAAACAAACAACCCTCTAGCTTATAAGGTTTAGCCCATAAATCTTTCAATCTACAATCAATTCATTCATTCAGCTGCTCAATCGGGCAATCAATGCAGCAGCATATATAATTGTCATCTATTTTGATTAGTTGACAAAAAACTTATGTTGTTCAAGTGAAGCAACGCCCCTGCCTAAATTGCTGATATGACTTTCTCTTCAATCAGCCCGACTGTCAATCAATTAGTCATGTATTCAAAATTCCACATAATTTTCTTTCTAATTCATATGCTCCTAGCGTTTATGTTATAATATTACTTTAATTAACTCATAAGTAGAATCTAACTCTCTTAAAATTAATCAACCTTATCCTACCTAATAAAGTTTATGCTAGTAATATATCTTCAATCAATCAGTCAATCAATCTGATGCTATCAACAATCATATACATTACCGATAGTGGCGTATCCTTGTTGAGTATGACCTGCAGCAGGTGGGGCGGCAGCACTGGCGGTCCGGACACCTTCTCCCAGGGCTTCACCTGCGGCACTTCCTGCGAGTACTCCTTCTCCGCATAGTTGGGCACATTCTCGCTGTCTTTGGCCAGCGCTTGGAACACCTCGAAATCGGATGCGCGCACCGACACCAGATTTGTCTTTTCGCCGTCCTCATTTTCCACGCTTTTCTACAAAATCAAACCAAAACAAACAAACATTAGATATAGCTCGCAGAGCACTGCAGAGAGAAGAGTCAGAGATAGAGAGAGGAGAGCAGAGCAGAGCTGCTCGGCATTGCCAGTCGCAAAGCCAAATCCATATTGTGTTATTGTTTACAGTCCAGCGCTGATTACACAACACTTGAGTGAAAAGGGAAAAATTCAAGTCGCAGTACGTCAGCCAGTGTAAACAATGCGTCGCTCATATATCGATTTTGCCCCACTGTGCTGGCTGGCCAGCCAACTCACCAATTTGGGATCGTGCTTCCATTCGCCGTCCACACAGAACTTGTACTGATGGTCGCCCTCCGGCAGATCGATGATGGTCACGAAATTGCCATGACTGCGCACCATCGGAATCGGTTTCCATTTGGAGAACGTGCCCGAGATGGTCACATTTTTGCCGCCATAGTCCCAGCGCAAAACCGTGGGCAATGCCGTCTTCTTCGATTCTGCTTCATCAAAATTCTTCGATCCTGTTGCCTTCATCTCTTGATACTCATCGTTCAGTTCATCCATAGTGCTATCTCTTTCCAGTGCTGCTGCGGCTGCTGCTGATGTTGTTGTTGCTGTTGGCTCGTTATCAACAGCTGTTGTGCGCTTAGCGCCCGCTCTCGTGTAAAAGTCGTCGTCGTCTTCTTGCGACGAACCCTCGTTCAAGACTGCCGTATGTTTTTTATCGAACGAGAAAGCTTGGCCGCCACCGCCGCCGCCCGGAGCTGCTGCACCTCCCACTCCGGCCCCCCCAACAGTTGACACAGCACCGCCGCCTGCGCCGCCCCCGCTGCCCAACGAGTCACGAAAGTGTGCGGGAGAACTTGGCGTGGAGAGGTCCGTTGACTTGTGGCGCTCGCGATGCATATGCACAGTCGAGCTACCCGCGTTGCCCATATTGCACTGCTTGTTTTTTTGTTTTTGTTTTTACGCTCTCTCACTCTCTGAATATATTGTTAACTTTTTCCACTAAATTTTTTTGGAGGTTTTGGCACTTTGTTTTCCTTGACTTTTTCTTTTGTTTTGCGTTTGGTCAGTAATTCACTTCCGCGTTTTGTTGCTGTTGTTTGTATGTATATAGTTTGTTTTGTAGTCTATATTGAATTGTATATTATATTTGGCATTTAATGTTTGTAAGTCTTTATTATTTAATAGTTTGTTTTCGTCGTAAAAATGGCTAATTATAATTACAACTACATGTACATGTGTGTGTATGCATGTGTTGCGATATATGTATGTAAATACGTACATATATTCGCAGTTCCAATTGGACTTGACTCATTTTGGTGAGAACATTGCAGAGTTGCTTTTGGCACACATCGGCTAGGGCGGCAAAGTAACCACTGAGTCACTAATTTGCTATTTAAATTATACAATAGGTCGATCGCAAGCTGCTGAGAGAGGATGATCTAATGCAATGAATCGCCGAAACTTGATTTCTTATAACAAAAACTAATATTATCAGTTGAATTTTGTTTCGTGCATAGAGATTTTGAGCTAGTTCCTTTGAACGTATGTTATCGTGACGCTTGCAGCCCTGCGCAGATATGCAAGGTTTATGTGTGAAAAAGATTAGAGGGCCAGAGTGTTAGCAAATTAATTAAGAACTTATAATACATAATAATGGCCGAATTGGTAAAAGACTGGCTGACAGACTATCAGCGGGCACGCCGTCAGCCAGCCGACGCCGAAGCATTTGTCGTCGAGCATGAAACAGATCCCGAAATCGCCGAAGCCATCTTCACCATATTCAGCGAGAGGCAACGTAACGAGGACTTGGTCCATGACATTTGCCAGCAACTGTTGGCCTTCTATCGCGCCCCGGAGGTGACTCTACACAAGTTTCCATTGCAATTCCTGCCCGTGCTAATCTACACATACCTGCATGCCGTCTCGGCAGGCGATAAAAAGGCATCCAGAGGAGTGGAAACGTTGCTCATCTGCATTTACAATGGCGAGGTGTCCACCGACGATGGCGGCCAGAAGGTTGTGGCCTTTCGCATGCCCATATTGGCCCAGGCGTCTGTCTATCACGAGTTGAAGAATCTACCCATGACAGACCTGCGACGCTGGGAGGAGAACTGCAATCGCGAGGTCAAATGGGGTCCACATTTGCGCATTGAGTCGATCAATGCTCAAAACAGAATGAGGATCATGACTGCTCTGCTCTTCTGCTACAACCAGCAGGTGAGCCTCACACAGAAATCGTCGTTGCTATATCTGTGCCGCGTCGCCTCGCAGCTGGTCAATCAGGGCTTCACCACCAAGTCGGGGCATGGACATCGCATGAGCTATGGGTGAGTGGCAAGACCTTGCTTGATCACAACTCTTACCCTTTCCCTATTTTCAGCTCCGATCCAACGACGGGCACGACATTCCCGAAACCTTCCGCGCCGCGCATTCCACTCTCCGCGTCCTTCCTTATCGAGCTGGTGCATGCGATTTACTATGCCATGTTCAATGGCTTTGGCACGGTAGCCATTCAAACACTGGAGGATATACATAATCGCGCCAGCTACGAAATGTTTACGGAGCTAATTATAGTTACAAACGCTGTGCGTAACTCGTTGCATGCCAATCCCTCGGGTCAGCCCAACGACGGGCCAATGGGTCTGAGTGTGGCGTTGACGCCGGCCACGACAACCGTGACGACGTCTGTATCCAAATCGATGATAACAAACGCTTCATTCCGAACGAAAAAGCTGCCCGATGACATTCCCATACAGGCGCAAGATCTCACAATACCTCAGGCGCCGCAGCAGCTGGCGAGCGTTACGGAGGAGACGGAGCCGGGCGCCAAGGAATCGCCCTCAGCCAAGGAGAGCAGCAGTGGCGGCACACGAACCTCCATTATCAGGCCCAGCATGGAGGGCATCAAAGCTCAGGCACACAAAGCGCTCGGCTTCAAGAAATCCAAGGACAAGGAGAAGGAGAAAGAGAAGGACAAGGAACCGCCAAAACCACCGCAACGGAAATTCGATAAGCATACGCAGCGGAATTCACTGCTGCAGCTACAGTCAGACAGTGGATTGGATTACGACAAGAGTCCGTTGAGTGTGAGCAAGTCGAAGACCTACGATGCCGTTGGAGAGCCCCAATCCACCGATCTGCTGCCCATGCAGACGCTCTCGCTGATCAACGAGAATGGCAGCAACAGCTTTAGCATCGATAGCGACTTAAATGACGGCATCGCCACTCTGCCTGTGGCTGTTTCGTTGAACAGCAATACAACTTCCATAACGAGCACTGACATGCTGACCAAGAGCTTTGAGTCGAGCGTAGAGCTGACCCCGCTGGGTCACAGTAACAGCAACGGGGCCAAGCTAACCGAGCATGGCCTCGATTAACTTGGGCAATTCAACTAACCACTTATAGCCAAATTCAAATTTATTATATTCGTTACCTCCTTGGTATTAACTTACGAACAAACCAAACAGAAACTATTTGGAGGCCTGTAAAATGTAATTCAGATATACTTAAAGAAGGAAGCAGAGAGAGGGACAGAGATAGAGAGGGGTTATTATATTTGTTGATTATTGTCACACTAAGTTGTTCGTATTGTAATCTAATTGTCGCTAAAACAAATTAATGTACATTACCAGTTTATGTAATTTTCGTTTTAGACCTAAGCACAGACATACCCGTACTACACAAATATTTATATATATATATATATGAATTCATATATACAAATAGCCAAGTTACCATGTTGTCCAGCAAATATATGCTAAACAATAGCATTTTATAATGAATTTAATAGTGCAACTAACTAAAGCAAATCTGTCGAATTGTAACTAACTTAGTATAAAGGTATGATGGTTTTAAGATAACGTATATATGTATGTCTTAAAGTGTGTAAATAGATATTAATTGCATGCCAAGTTCTGATCAGGCATATATATATATAAATATATATATGTACCTTAAAAGTGTTACACACATATATATATACGACACACACATATACACTTGTAAGCCTAACATATACAATAAATATTTATTGAACGTTGACCCACAAAAAAATGTTATTGAAAATTGATTTAAATTATTCATTCAAAATTGAAAACTTGAAATTGATTTGAAATTTCGAAATATCAGCTGTACATACAGAAATTGATTGCAAATTGAGTAACATAATTAAATAGAATAATTAAATCTACAAAAATTAATGTAAAGAAATAACTGTGTACCTCAACATTCTCTAGGCATGTTAGCTATAATTATCATTACCTGTCGGAGCGCTTGCGGAATTTGGCCTGAAGGAAAATCCGCGGCACATCGATGCCCTCCTTGAGATTAAGGGTGCGTCGATGCACATAGTTGTTGTCTAGCACGTCGAAGCCGTTTTGACTAAAGATCTCCGACAGCTCTTCTTGGGCAAAATAATAGCTGCGAGTGCCGTCCTGTCGCATATAAAAGTTTTCGCTGATCTTATGACCCGGCTTAAAGCGTAGCTGAGCCATGTCGTATAGACCATAGTCGCGAAACAGCACTAATCCACCAGGCTTTAGTAATTGCCATAGATTCCTGACGACATCAACGAATTTGTCAGGATGTATGGCGGAGAGCACAAAGATCATGGTGCAGACATCGAGGCTTGCTGCTTCGATGTGCTCATGCACCTGTTGCGTTGTTATGTCGCACTGGAAGGCGGTTATATGGTTTGTGTCGTACAGAGGATTTGCTCGCACAAAGTCCACGGCACGTGGTGAGAAGTCGCAGGCATAGAAATAGAAACCGTGCTCACTGGTCTGTTCCTTGAGCTGCTCCTCCAGTAGGGGAAAGACCAGATTGCCAACGCCGCAGCCCACCTCTAAGAGCCTACGTCTCTCTCCTTTATACTCCTCCGCCAGCAGCTCCTGGAACTCTTTAGTTGTCCAATGGCGATCCTTAAAGAAACGTGTTTCATTTCTCTTATAGAATAAATCCCAATGCCGCTGCGCATCGATCTCCAATTTATTCGCCTTGAATTCGGGCACCAAACGTTTGTTTTGCTCCTCCAGCTTATTTAGCTCGTCAGCGGAAAGCTCTTTGGTGCGCGTAGTAAATATATCCTCCTCCATTTAATTTAGATATTAAGCGAATTCCATATCAACAAATCAGTTCGGCTGTAAGTGTTAATTGATGTATAAGGTAGCACATTGAATGAACGAACGATAACATGTACATGTGCAAGGCTAACATTTTATTTGTGATGTCAGCATCTTTTAATAAAAATAATCGAGCAATCGAAAATACTAACAATGCGAAAATATATGCATTTGGTTTATTTTTCAGTATTGATTTATTATCGAAAATACCAAAACAAAATTAGATTTTTTTTGTATTTATTAATTATGCCCGCGCATTTAAAATGAAAACTCAGCTTTTATATTACAGGTAAACATGTGATTTCTTTATTGCGCCGAGTTCTTTAAATCATTATTAATGAATAACTCAATTTATACATATGTGTAGTATTATAAAGAATATAACAAATAACAAAAGTGTAAGGCAAAATACCAATCCAGATATTGGTATTGGATTGCTTTGGTCTTTGGTTTTTTTATTGTTGATTGTGGGTGTGGAAACTATCTGCCCATTATGGTTGGCTCATCGGCCATGGCAACTTCATCATTGGGCGCCTTGGCGCCTTTCTTCTTACCTGAATACCAGAGGAACATGACACCGCATAAAATATTAACTACGAACGTGAACCAGGCCAGGTAAACGCCATAGCCATATCTATAAGTAAGGAGGTTTAATTATTAAAAAGTGTTTCATTTTTCCTTTGAGGACTAACTTACGTTAATTCCGCACCATCCGGATAGGCATAGAACAAATTCTCTTTTGTGTAGTCGATTGAAGAGAACAGCACCTGCAGCACTACAAGCGCTGTGGATGCCGCCACTAGGTGTATGCCACCTGCCAATCGCTTGAACATGTAACGCGGATTCATAAACGTATAGAAGGAGAAGACCGCGCCCAGACTCATGACGAACAACGTGATGCAGGCAAAGGAAGCTTGCGTACGGATGTAATCTGCAATGGCGTACCAAGACACTACCAAATAAAAACTGTTGCGATTATAAATGTGTGTGTGTGTGTGCGTGGATGCATGCTTAGCTTCGAGAACTTTTTGTTGGGCGCGTCCATGCTGAACTACTCGACCCAATAAATTACATGCCAACAAAAATGCAACATTTTACATGAGTGTGGCATATCCTTTTACTCATTTTTATTAAATCTTTCTCGGTAGAGAGAGCAGACTTGCTTTGTTCAAGAGAGCAGCGAAAATCAGCAACAAAAGTAAATGGCCTACGAAGAGCTAAAATTAGCGACTATCTCGCTCGATCGCACTAGGCTAATGTTAGTCACGTACCGTTACAATTGGGAGCACAAGAGAATTTAAGTGAGAGCAAGCTCAAGATGGCGTATTATGAGAGCCGATGAAAGAAGCGTGCGTCTCGCTCGATGGCAAGAAAACAATGGACATGAGAAAATGAAAATGAATTGTTAATGCTCTTACATACCCATTAATTCATCATCGAAGCCAGGCTCACTGCGTAGGGTATTTGAATTGGGAAACATGTCGATGTATTTGCAACGCGCTAAAGAACGAGGAATAGCATACTTATTATAGTTAAAAAAAATATTAATATGTATATTTACAGTAGGGTATATAGCTGTAGTAGGCGGTCTGCCCGGCCTTCTTGGGTGGCAATGGCGGCACCAAAAGCAAAATCACGCGCTCGTCGTTTAACACAAAGGCGGGTATACCAATGTCCCTGATGTACGTGCCCAGCAGTCGAACCACCAATGGATAATCCGTCCAATTGCTGAATATGGCCTGCTGTGCCATCTCCGGTATTACATAGTAGGACCAGGTGTTGTTGTATTTAACACGCTGCAGCGCTGAGCCGAAGGTGCGCCGCTTGATTATCCCATTCACATCCAGCGGGTCGATGGGAATGGGCTTCAGGCTAGTCGCATTGAATTCATGCTGATTCGCTTCCGTCGACATGACCAGCTTGTGGAAAGCGCTGCGAAACATTTGGAAGTCCTCCTCCTCACCTCGCGCCCAATGGGCGAACATGCGCCGACGCGCCGGCTCCGTAAAGTTGTCCGAGCCATCCAGTTTGTCCTGAGCAAAGTTTCGAATGAACTCCATGTGACTCAAGTTGCGTTTGGCATCGTTGATATACGACTGCGAGGTGTACGACATGGAGCTAAAGTTTCGCACCACCTGCGCATTGCTTAGCGCATTCGGCACGATCGTATTACGGCAGTGGCGCCACAATCCCGAATGCGAGTTGATGAAGAAGCGGCGCGATTCGGGTATGAAAATGCCTAGTAATGGGGACAAGGGAACGATATTCAGTTGAGTCTCTACTCAAAGGTACTCAAATCGCTTGCTACGCACCTTCTTTCCCTGATATGATGATCCAATGGTCCGTTGCTATCGCCACTATCCACACAATCAGCGAAACGACCATCAGCAGGCTGCAGCCGAGCAGCACACGGCGCTGGAACATGTAGGCCTCCATCAAGGGACGTCTGGCCTCATCCCGACCAATTGTCGAGGTGGATATGTCGCGCTTCATCTTTGTTGTCTGAGCTTTGAACGTCCGGCGGTGCGCGTCTGTCTTACGGGCTCAGCAAATGTTTGCGGGCGTCACCGGGCGATACCAATGGGAAATCCACACGCACATGGGACAGGGCACGTTCCTACGTACAAAATGCCAGAGAACAAAATTGTGGAAAAATATTCATTAAAATAAATGAAGAGAAATAATTGTTCCTGCTTAAGCAAAATGAAGTCACGTTGCGTATTCGCAGCGTAGGACAACAAGCTGTGTATAGAGGTGTACTTGTGTGTGTATGTGATAGTGTTTATAGATTATACTGTATATATATAAATATTCATAAACGTATATATGCATGTATGTACATATGTATATTCTGTGTGAGCCTCTAAATAGTCCTATACGAGGCGATACGATTGCTTGTATATGTAATATGTACATACATATGTATATGTATGTGCGAGCGTATGTTTGTTTGTGTCATAATTATAATTCAGCAGGTGTTTTCGCATGGGAATTTACGCCAAAAAAAATAGATTTTTATTTATATTTCATTTAGATTTCTTTATATGCTCGTTGGCAAATGTGAAAAACGGAGCATATTAGCTTTTGTACAATCGTTAAATTCTAGAGTAAAGAAATATATATTTATAAAGTGTAAGGATATTATAACTACGTTTATTTGGGACTTGGCAAATCAGCAGAAATTGTTTATTCACTTCTAAAACTAAAAACATTTCAAAAGTTGTTATAAAATTCAACTGCAATTTAAATGCTTAACGAGCATTGTGCAGACAGCTAAATCCGTTTAATAGCTCGAATCAGATCGTCTGAATTATTTTTGGCTCGCCAGATATTTAAAAGAACATATTTCATGCACATTTGTCTGTCGTTTTAGGCCTTTTTGGAGAATTTATACGATTATTTATTTATTTATTATATTTACATGTTGTTTTTTGGCTGTCGTCGCGTTGGCAACAAAAAAACAATGAAAAAGAAGAAGACGTAGAAGCCATTTCATTAATTTCTGTCAGAAATAAAGCAAATTAGTGAAGACATTTACAAACAGCAAAAAGAGAAAAAATTGAAATATATATTTTATGCTTTCTTTAAAAATAATAAAATTTCTTGAGAATTTCTTTGAAATTGAACATACATATATACATATTATATATATGTATACTATATATGCATAAGTGGCAAATATTTTGGCGAGGAATTAGTTGCGCCCCAGCGCGTGGGTGTGGGCGTGTGCGTGTGCAAGTGTCATCTGCCCAAAAGTACTTTTACTGCGAGTCAAACATATACAAATATCATATAGATACATAATAGTCATATACATCATATATATGTATGTATGTGATATATAGCAGACACATTTATCATTAAAATGCTTTGTTCGTCAACATTGGGAATTTGTATATTTTGTATGGATCATAAAAATGTGAAAATTCTGTTTTGGGAAAACCCGCAGCAATTTGCAAATGCACACAAACACATGTACATAGACACACATATATATATATTTATTAAATTAATGATATTCATTAGTAAAAATATTAAGTTTAATGATTTTATTTTAAATTCTCATTTCATTTATGGTTGCTTTCATCTTTTATTGTTGTTGTTGTGGTGTTGCATACAACTTCCGTGTTGTATTTATAGACAACGTATATATAGATAGACACATACATATGCAATCGTATTGTTGCAGTTGGGAGTTGCATGTGCGTCATGAAGCCGCCAACTGCGTCATTTGCCAACATTTAAAAGAGAGACAAAAACAAACAGCACAAAAATAGGGAAAATCTCCTAAGTGTTTAGAGTTCTTAAGCAAACACCCGCTGGCTGTACCCTATTACAGATGTATATTGCAGGGTATATTGCTTCAAAGCATATGTATGTAACAAGCTGCAAAAGCTGTAAGCCTTCAATTTTCAATAATAATAGTTGAGTAGGTCTGGTCGACTTATAACTATTGCCAGTATACATAACACTTAATATGTAAATAATTAATATAGTCATCATTTTTGATAAATTAACATATGAACATAGAATTTAACTCTGGAAAAGAGTAATTTCTTCGTTAGTTATCATTAAAAAGCAAAATAACACTCATTATTGTGCATAGGAAGAAATACACAGAAACGCTCAAAAGCTGAGCGCCATTTTGATCAAGTGTAAAAATTACCTCCGAAAAAAGTCCCTCTTCTAAAAGCGAGCATTAAGGCAAGCGCAGAAGAGAGCTCATTGCAGCGCTAAGGAGCATTAAGCTTACTCAGAGAAGCTGAGCTGAGCGCCATATTGATCTAATGCAGAACTAACTCAGTAAATGTCTCAAAAATTCATAGGCAGAGCAAGTGAGCAATAAAACTAACTCAGAAAATGGCTCACTCAAACGAATAAATAAACTTACGCAGAGCAAGGCTCCGCTGGGCTGAGCTGCATTTTTGAAGAGTGTAAAATTAAGCTGAGTGCAAAGCTGCGTCAAGGAGAATACACTTAC